CTTATTTTTACAGTGCCATTCCGAAACTAAACAGCCTCTTTTTTCACTGGAAACGCTAAATTATGACTGGTAAAGTAAAGACAGAGCTCTATATCGAGCACATTACTGTTCTGTATAGTACTTGGGTGAGTGCTGCAATGTGTGACACCGGGTTCAGGCTACAAAGAGCTTGGAAGGTGAGCAAGCAATAGAAAAGACATTTTTCAGCATACTGCCCCTTGTAGACATATGTAATAGAGGACAAACACTTTCATCTTAAAGAATGAAATCAAAGAATAGCTATATCTTAAAGAAAATTAAGTGTCCTTAGGAAATTCAGATTACAAGTGAATGTTACATTCTGCCCTTGGCTCCTTTGCTGTTGATATTCCTAAAGAGAGTTTGAATTCCTATAACAAATTTTTAAAATTAATGACAGATTATTACTTCCAGATTACTGCACCTGTCATTGAGTTTGATTTTCATAAATTAATGGAGCTCACGCTAACAAAATAAACAGGTAGTGCCATGGCGATGCATGGAAGCAGAAGCATAACATTTTGTAGGTCATTTGCGCAAATTAACACCTTGAACTTTCAGTTCTTCCCAGAGAAGCAATTACCAAGTTCCACCGTAACCGAATATTGTCAAAGCATTTGTATCTTTTTCTTTTTGGAAATTTAATTGAGACTGGCCTGCAGAAAACCCTCTCTTATCTAAAGTTTAAAAACCCCCCAACCACTGGATTCCAACCCTCCGAAGGCAATGGAGGAGTTCAGGACAGAAGGACTGCATGTAGTGCCAGTGGCGTATGATTTGGGGATCCATTCATTAGCGTGGTCATTAGCAGTGTAAGAAAAGGAGCTAAGCTGCACCGAGTTTACGGTTCAAATGCACTCGAAGGTCCCCTGCTGCACTTCTCAGCTGCGGTGGCTTAATGTAACAAAAAGCCCCTGGGAGAATTTATACCGAGCAGCGTAATTACTCCACATAGAGAATAATCATTTAAGGAGTGAGGGCTATTTACAGAAGAGGAGTGCTTAAGGAAAAACAGTGACAACTTCTAAGAAGGATTTTGTAGGAGCTGGGAACTTCCTATAAATACAGATCCACTGAAAAGTAACTGAATACTGTATGTGACAAGAGTATTTTAGAGTGATAGATACCAACTATGCACAGATAATATGGGTGCCAAGTATCTCAAGTGTCTTCAAAACACAAAAATGTATCTATATTTTTTTAAATCAAGCCCTAGTTCTTCAAGTTAGAAATAATGCTGTCACCTTTTAAACCTAATATAAAAATTGCAAGTGAAGTGGTTGGTTTACCAGAACACTCTTCTGCTGCTCTGGCCATACAAAATGCTGCTGCCCTGCTGGGAGGGGTGTTCTTATTGCATACCTTGGTTGGTAAGTTAGCCCTTATAAGTTAATTTCTTTGAAAATTTTCCAGTTTTTCAGTGTCTGGAAATCAATATGAAATGAAATAAGTTTTGCTTTCGTTTTCATGCTTAAGATTCACATGAGTCTTGCATATCTTTAAAAGCCAGATAACTCAATCTTGGTTTACAAGTGTTAAAAACGAGTAATCCCTACCTCTATATAGATATAAATCAGTTTTCTTTTCAGAAACGATAAGGTTTATTTTAAAAGAATAATAGCATAGAGATTCTTGTCTTTGCTAGAAACCCAGAAGTAAAAGGGAATTATAGTCATCTAATAATCAGAATTTTGTAGATGATTTACAGACACTATTACAAACACTGATTTCTTCCACACTTTCTATTTGTATGCACTCCAAACTGAAAATCACCTCAAATGACATCAGTGCTGTTCTCTCATCTTAACCACTATTAGTCCCTTCTGACACAAATAACTCTACTCTGCTGAGCAGTATGAGCTATATAAGAAGATATGCCCTTCAGTGAAAGAAAAGCCTTGAAGTCTGAATCTATCCATACTGTATCTTATCTTATTTACACATATTCTTTAGTTCTGGCCCAGAAGATGTCAGAGCACAGCCCACCCCAGTTTTCCAGAGGCGTACTTCAACACTCAGCTTGCAGTAAGCAGCTCAGCCTCAAAAGGTGATTTGAATCATAAATCAGATTTAATGGTAAGCAACTGTATAGCTCATAAAATCCATTCCTAGGGACCACTGTCCATACATAAAACCTGCAGCTAACCCAGCATCTCTCATAAGATATGAGCACTCACTGTTACAGGAAGAAAACAGGAATTTAGGAGACAAATTCCACAGCTGAGGTCTGACTAGCCCTAATTTATTCTGATGCTAAACTTTGCCTAGCTAAAGCTTGCTTAGGGTCTTTACGTTTTGCAGTATATGTAAGGACACCACTCAGTTTTAACTACATTTTTATAAATAGAGGCTGCATACATCTAATCTGAAAGACCATCCTCTGTGACTAGATATATGTGTATTAAATCCAGTTGCAAACATACGTCAAACTATAAAACTGCACAGATTTTGACAGACTGGAGTGTGCTGAAGCAGACAGGCTTTTCCTTGTTACCAAAAAACAACCAAGCAAAAAACCTACAACCAAGGACTGGAGCAGAAGTTACTAATGGGTAACAGGAAAGCTCTCATTTCACCAGGTAACAAACATTCACAACAGTTGCCATTAAATCCTAGTGAAGTGTCCCATCAATAGGTTTAAAAAAAGAATAAAAAGCTATGTAATTGCTTTCTTTAAGGTTATATGGCTTGAGAGTCCTAATTCATCAGTAGTAAAACTCAAAGATCTGGGTAATTCTGTATCATTTCCGTATTATATGCTATGACTTACTGTCAGTTTGTTTTATTATGAAAATTACTTCACAACCTAGCAATGACAGGCAGTAACTTACACTCATTAACCTACGAAGTACCTACTACTAGGCAGATATTTACTAATAATGAGCTAAGTGACATGGAGTCAAAATGCAGTCAAAAGCCTGCATTTTCCAAAAGGCAAATGTCAGATTAGAGATCCTCTACAGGCAGTAAACTTCGTTATTTAGCAATCATTTTAGCATACTGTTGATATTGTTTAAGCCATTACATGGTCAACTATGCCTCACTAATTGACATGTTTCTAGATAATATTTGTAAATGTAACCTGGCTCTAAAGGCGTCTGAAATCACAGACTACCCACCTTTCTTCAGAGCTCATTACATGTAAGATTATAATCTTCCTCACCTTGCTTTCAACTAAATGGAAACAGCTATACCAAGAATATAGAAACTGTTCTGCTGCACTGTATTCCTGATGGCAATGTGGTGTAAAATACTATTAGCAATCTAGTAATTGGTGGGACTTTTCCTCACGTGATCGCTTTCCAAATCCAACAGTTATTTTCCAAAGCACTTTGGTAACCAGGCAGAACAGTGCTTTCAGGCCAATATCTGTTAAGAGATTCACAGTTTAAGAGATCCACTTAGACACAATTAGAAGTAAGTGTTGTCAAATGTAAATAGGAGGGGACTGGCATTAACCAGGATGCCAGTCTCTGTCACTCTCTACAAGAGACTGCAAGCCAAACAGCAAATCCAGCGCCTCACTCAGATGAGCAGAAAAACTGGTTGTGCTTTTGAGGAGATGGGGGCAAAAACAGTGAAGGGAAATGGTTCTAAGTCAAGTTTAAGTATAGAGTAGTGAAATCTGTGTAGGAATACCTTGTCAACTAAACAAAGTTAATTGTAGCCCAATTGTAGTTCTGATTTGTTCCTCCTGACTCTTCCTTACAGCCCTCCTAGAGACCAGGCTTTAGGACCTCTTTCCACTCCAACTGGGTGCTGTTCAGTTCTGTCTGAAATGTTTTTACAGAATATGTTATTCTCTGAAATATGGGGAAACTTATTTTGTCATGGAAGTTCAAAGATCCCACTCACATCAAGCTGTGTGCCGAGTTGTCTCATAGAATTGCACAACAGATGCCCTTTGGAAAAAATGTAGAGGAAAAAACCAATTATTTTGAACACAGCATTTCTGTACCTGAAAAGTGAGCAGTTCCAGATATAAACAGAATTAATTATTTTGATGTTCTGGCTTCTGACCAATGTCACTGTCACTCTTCCTGTTTACCTGCTTTTGAGTTGCCATTAGAATTCACTCTAGTGGCTTTTCATAGCACTTGTGCATTATGCGATCACAGCTTGTTGGTTAGTTAGCCTGTTGTTCTATCAAAGCAGATATAGTTGGTCAAATGAAAGCAGCTGATAACTTACTTAGCTTTGGTTCTGTCTCTAGATTTTACATATTTCAGCTCAAATATTAGAGCTGTTCCTGACTTAAACTGACCTTTATTATCACCTGCTGCTCTGAGCAGCCCACCAGTGTTACAGAGGTTACAGAGGCAGTTTCATTCTGCAATTACAGGGGAGAACAAAGAGCAGTACTTGAAAGAAGTAATTAATGTCTTTCATTTGATTGTAAACTTGTGACCGATCTTGATTTTTAAAGAAACTTTAGACTTTGCGCCTAAAATTCTTTTCGTCCATAAACCTTTAAAGCCATGATAAGAAGCTGGATCTAAACCTAGGTCTTTTGTATGTAATATATATTTTGTGGGGTCAAATATTTTATATTATTACATCAAAGAAAAAGCATGTAGGGTTAATACTGTCACTTGAATTGGAGGAAAGAGATTAATTTCTTGTTGTCAAGGTTTGTTTTGTTTCATTTTTTTCCTCTGAAATACTCTCCTGCAAACATTGTGGGTCCAGTTGCTTACAACTGATACTGGGCCAATTATTCAACTCACGTTGTCTTGGGATCTCTGTGCTCATGTTCTACCAACTGAAACAGTAACAGCATTTCTGTGACATTGTTACTGATCTTGATTTTTAAAGAAACTTTACTTTAGACATTGCACCTAATTTTAGGTGCAACTTAACATAGATTAAAACCATAGGTTAGAATATGGGGAAGATATTAAGATATACAGATAAGCAGATATAAGAAGAAATGCAAAGTATGCAGAATATCCGTTTCAATTTGTCAATTGCTTAATTAACAGGAGGAGGATCAGTCAAGTTTCTCTTGTTATGAGAGCACGGGAGGTGAGTTTCTTTTTCAGTATCATTTGCCATTTCATTTTGAAACCTTTGATCTCCCCTTGTATTTAAATAGTTACTTAGAAGGTAAAGTGAATTCAGCTTATTTATATTGTGAAAGTTATGTCTCAAATGATTTTATCATGTGAGTTCTCTTTGAATGAAAATTAAAGCTTATAAGACATTCCTACATTCTTTAGGCCACTGGTTCCAAAATTAGTAGAAGATATTACTGTTAATCAGCATCAGATCTTACAGGTGTTTTCAGACATTAGTAGTTTTTGAAAGCTTGTTGGAAAGTACGAGCTGCCGAGAGTCTAAGAGGAATGAAAGGATTAATCAAAGCCTTTTACACCTAACCACGTTATGCAGTGAAGTGTACACACCACATAATAAACAAAATTGTACGTGGAAAATGAATGTGTCTTGTCGGTGATTAAAACAGAGACATAATAACATTCCAGCAGGCTCAAATGGTGCAAGATCACGTTCTGTACCAGTGCAATCAGGCCAGTGATGGACTCAGACCGGAGGGTACTGCTCTTTTTAAAAAGTACTTTCAGTAAAAGGGAAAGCTGTATTACATGCAGTCATTTTGGTGCTCAGATGACAGCAATATCTGTATTTCAGTTAAGATTATTCTTCTTTGGCTGAATTTGAGGCTCAGGGGAATTTAAGACTATATATCAGATGTAGTGCACCGAATATAAAATCTGGGATGTGGACAAACCTCTACAGCCATTATAATGTAATAACATATTCAGAGGAAAATGCAATGGCTCAGGAAGCACTTCACTACATCAAGATGCATCTGCTTCTCTTTTATTTCCTCCCTACCCTCATTTTTTTTTAAAGAGCTGATGTATATATGCAAGGACTAATTTTCAGATAAAAATATTTTTATCATATCTGCAGTGAGTACTGTGAAACTGCGGATAAATAGGAGATAAACAGGCTTGTGGATAATAGCTTGAGGACACCTCCTCCTGGAACGCAGAGCATTATAGCAGAAAGTAAATCCAGTGAAGTCAGATCGCCTTGCATAAGCAGTACACAATTCAGTGTGGAAAGTAGCCGAGATCAAAATTAGTGGCTCTTGCAAACTGGTTTGTTTGTGGTTTTTTTTCATTTTAGACTTTTCAGAAGATCTGAGGAAAGCAAACATCATTTTTGTAATTGGTAAGTAGGATTCCCAATTTAACTGCTCATTTGAAAACACCCTTGTTATTCAGTTTTGGTTATATGATTTCTTTTAAGGTTTAGCAGAACTGTTTGGTTAAGAGTATTTAGGCTACAATGGTGGTTTAGTCTTTTGAAAGGGAGTTGGGATTCACTATTGTGTTATTAACGCGTGTCTGACCGTGCTAACAACAGTTGTGTAAAGCTCAGAGCCGGAGGGAAGTTTAAGTGTGAAATACTCAAAATTACCTTAGCTCTTGTGCAGTTACAGTAGTGTTGTGTGATCTCCCACAGCAAAGCCGCCTCGTCAGCATCAGTTCAAATGTTACTGGATTGGATTTACAACTCGGAATTTTGATGTTTAGGTGGGGGAAAAAAAAAAAAATCAGGTCTCTTCACCTCTTTACTTGTGAAAGAACTTTTGTAAATAGAGGTTTGGATTCTGCATGTGCTTAACATGCTGTTAAAAAAATCAATGGCCTGGTCACCATGCATGGTGCTTAGCGTGCCCTGAGGCTTTGCAGGTTCAAGGTTTACTTTATCTTTGCTTTCTGGAATTCCGTTCACAGAGAAAAAGCACTATGTTAATGCCCATTATCATTTAAACATAACAAATGTAAATAGCATGAACTTTGAACAGCCTTTTAAAACAAATTGTAACCAAATTATAAGGAGAGTTTTTCAGAAATGCTTTGTAATATAGAGAGGAACCACAGATTTCCAAAGACCTATGACTAGGTATGCAAACATGGATAATTTTACCTAAAAGCCAGTCACTTTCTGCATTCTTTTTTACCAAGGTAAATTCCTACTGCAATTTAGTCACAAATGAATGGAAGTTTCATTCAGAGGCATAAAAAAATATATCCCAATACCAGCAGGTTGAGGGAGTTGATCCTTCCTCCCTATTCAGCACTGGATTCAGGCTGCATCTGGAGTGCTGTGTCCAGGTCTGGACTCCCCAGTGCAGAACCACAAAGATGTTTAAGGGATAGGAGCATCTTTCATATGAGGGGCTGAGAGAGCTGAGCCTCTTCAGCCTGGAGAAGAGAAGGCTCCAAGGGATCTTGCCAATCCGTATGAATACCTGATGAGAGGGAATGTAGATGAGCGAGCCAGAATCTTCTCAGTAGTGCCCAGTGATAGGACAAGAGAAAACGTGTACAACTTAAAATACATTAAATTCCATCTGAACACAAGAAAACACTGGAGCAGGATACCCACAGAAACTGTAGGATCTCCATCCTTAAAATATTCAAAACCCAGTCCTGAAAAACCTGCTCTAGCTGACCCTGCTGTAACAGAGGTGTTGGACTGGCTGATCCCAAGAAGCTCCTTCAACCTAGAGGAGATGTGAAGAGGCAGCATGTTTATGTGTTGTACTTTTATCTTGCCCCATCTTACACCAAAGACAAGTTTTGTATTTGTATCAATTATTGCAAACCTATGGTGGATATTATGCATTTTAAAAAATAAAATTAGATTACTGAAGAGTTCACTGGAGACATTTCTTAAGGGAATGAGGCATGACACTTAATTTTCAGTCTTTAAGTAAACTATAATTCCATGCTTACTGAAGTACATCTTCCTGCTGTTTCCTACACTCTGCCTCATGTATCTTACTGGAAAATTATATTTGGATTTGTACAAACACAGATTTTTAAAAAAACCTGAAGATGCTCAAGCTGTTCTGCCTCTGAAATAGTCTATGGTAAAGGCATATTTTTCTATTTACCTCTAGACTGCTGCTTTTTTTTCAAAGAGTGGGTTTTAATATGTTTATAATTTTTATAGGCCATCTATTAGCCATCTTCCAGCTTAAAACTGAAAACTCACCTTTTCCCTATCTCTTAAATCCATCTCAGTCTATCTAGTAAATGCTTTCTAGAAACATAAAAATTCTGTTTAATCAAAAGTCTTACTTTTTTTGTTGAAAATGTTACAATGAAGAGTTTCACAAAGTCCAAATATGTGGTACTTGTCCATAAACTACGTAGACTGATTTATACATTTTCCCAAAATTGTATTTGGCCATCCCAAAAAGCCACCAACCTTGAAAAAGCTTCTTGAAGTCTGATGTGAAGAGCGAGGGTGTATTTTTCCTGTGGTTTTTGTTGTTGCTGTGTGGTAGGTTTTTGTTTGGTTGCTTGGGGTGGTTTTTTGGTGGGGTGGTTTGGGCGTTTTGTTTTGTGAGTGGATTGTGGGGGTTTTTTGTTTGGGGTTTTTTGGTTTGGTTTGTTTTTATGGTGACCAACCTGAGAATGTCATGGTTGCCAATTTGGCTTCAAAATCGTGATCATACTCCATCTAGGAAGTGAAAATGAATGGTATTTCACAGAGATTTCTCACTGGTCTAACATTTTACACACCAGAAGCCTCACAGCAGCAGAACAGAACTGTGAAGGTGGAGGGGAGATAGTGGGGGATAGTAAGAAAGTAAAACAAAAACCACCACCACAAGTTCTCAGCGTCTCAGTACTCCATTGCAGAGGGCAGCACTAGAAACATTCAGCCCATGACACCCTGAAAGAAGGCAGGCAAGATGGGTTGGAGCATCCTGCTGTAGATACTGCAATGGGAAAGACTGTCTTGGTCTCAAGTGTCATCAGGAATGTTTACTCATTACACAGATGCACTCATGAGGTAATAAGATCCTTATAAAGATGTTTTAAAACTAAATTTCTGAAGATGTGCATTCGAAGTAGTTTACAAACTAATTGAAATAAACACACCATCTGCCATAGCTGACAAATTGAGACACCGTTTATAAGATAAAGGGAAAAAAGCAGACAGTTCCCCCCCCTACTAATTTCCCTTGAAAATTCTCCAAAAAGGGAAAGAAAACAATCTAATTAGCAAAGATTTACATTAGAGTTAATGTAGGAATTAATTAGAATAACAGTCAACCCGGATTAATTAAGCAACAATGGTTTAACCAGACAGCAAAGCAGACACTGAACCAGCAACTCAAAAAATATAGGAGATAACAGCAGGGTAATAAAAGGCAAAACCAAGTTAAATTTGGCCTGAAAAGTAAAATTCAAGAGAAAAATAAGAGAATTGAACAGATGCAAAGATAAATTTGGGGTATGTTGTAATATTTGAAACTTGCATAATTATTACCAGTCACTTAAAAAACAAACCAAACCCCAACCACCCATCAAAGAAAAACCCCTACCAACGAAAAAAGCCTTTTTCATCAGAGCAACATAAGTTTAACAACAGTGGACAATATGTGATTTTATCATTCTTCACTAATGCAATACTCTGTCACATCTAGAGAACTGTTGTACATAAAGTTGCCAGGAGCATTCTCTCTCCCTGTCCTCCACAGGAGTCTCATAAAACAGACCCATGTTTGGCTTTGGTTGAGGCTGAAACTGAAACGAAGTTTCTGGGAATCTCTCTGCACTTCGGATCAGAGACAAACTCCCCTCTTACTCTTAAATGTAGCGTTTAAAACTCAGTCGGTGTAACCAATTTCCTCTGCAGAATCCTTGTCATACTCTTGCTGATGAACAAAAGCTGATAATGGCTTAAGCTCAATGTAAATAAGAGCAGCTTTTCAGCTGACATTCTGAAGATATTATCACCACCTACATTTACAGGTAAAGCGTTATCAGCTGCAGACACTAGCTTCTTGTGCATACAAAAAAACCCCGAGAAACCACAAACCCCAAACCTCCTCATTTGTCCAAGGTATGACAGACCTTGATCAACTTTATCAACTTGATCCAACTACTAATTGAGCCATGCTTTGAGTAGAGGGTTTTACCAGATGAGGTCTCTTTCAACCTATATTATTCTACAGTACCTGTATTATAGTTCCTTCTGTAATCACAGAGCCATAGGATGAGCAGTGCTGGTAATTAAGACCTCGATCAGTCCAAGTGCTAGCAGTAGAAGCCAGTGAAAGCTGCTTTCTCTGACTTTCCATAAGAAGAATTTCATAAAATGAACTCCAATTTTGCTTTCAGAGGGATGAAAACTGAGTGATGTCCCAGGACATCACATCACATCACACTGCCAACACGTGCTCCAGGTTGTTTTCTGATTAAAACCGTATTTCAGGGAAAAGAAAAATGTTGAGGGATTGTTGTTGTTGTTTTTAAATAACAGCATCATTCCTAGATGGTTTCACTCAGACTAAAACCATACATGAACATCAGATGAGGGGCTATTGAGAACCCTTCAGGTGCCACGTTCTGAAGCTAAGGCTTGCTTTTATTTGTATAAAAAAAATCCAAGCAACATTGCTAGAATTGCTAAACTGATCCAGAATCATAGCTTGATTATAAGGACAGCTTGACTGGGGTTATTTTTATTTCAGTCGACACTGTTATGCAGCTAGGTTTCCCCTGCAAGCACTTTTCCATGATACAGGGATGATACTCATTATGAAAATAAGGTCTAGAAATGGAAGCATTTGAAAATGAATGGTGGGACTCCTGCAAATCCTGCTACTGGCATTTTATTTAAATATTCATAGTATTTTGGTATACAACAAACTCACAAGATTTGGCAAGTATAAAATAGACATCCCAGTCTCAGTCTGTCTGTATAACACTTCTGGTTTATTACTATTTCTGGCAGCAAAGCCGGTTCATGAACTGCTCACACTGCTTGTTCCCATCCCTGCTCACTCCCAGTGGCAGTTCCAGCTCCCTTGAGCATCATTAATTCATCTGCTTGTGATGCTGTGCTCCAGGCCAGACAGGTACATCCGAATCATGTGCCAAGGCTTGTGGTTGTTCGTAGACTGGGGGAAAATTAGGGCATGAGGAAGAGCAGGTGTAAGACACTATTTCTTTAACTGGGGTCTTTCACTGATCTGAGGCAGACTGCAGTTAAACATTCAGAAGTGCTGCTCGGCCAGTTGTCATTTCTCCCTACCCACTGAGACCGCTCCTTTTCTCCCCTTGAAGTGCTCTCTGTGAAGCATTTCTGCATTCAATAATTAAATGGGGAAAGGTGACCACCTAAGTCAGCAGTGCTGCCAGAAAGCTGTTTGCCAGAAGATCCCCTTACACAGTTTCACAGACAGCTGAATCAACATAATGGAAGGGAAAACTGCACTAAGGGAGCGCATAGACCTATCCAGCACATGACCCATCCTTGTCTACAGAAAAGCAATATACAGAACTGCATTTAGTTTCTGTGCTCTCTCTAGTACCCTGGTTCCAGATACTTTCTTACTGTTTGTATCAGAAAGCACAGAGGGACACACAGAGGATTCTATTTCCAAGAATAATCTCAATAACTGATACAACATGCTTAATTTCTTAATCTGCAACTTCTTATTACATTAATGAGTGAGCTTTAAAGCAGAATATACTGTACTTACCAATACTAGCACAATACAAGAGTATGCCAACACTGAAGAACTGGTAGTTCTCCTGCAGGTCACAGCACACTCATAATTCCTCTGGCAATTTTCTGGGCTTTAACTCTTTATGTCATATATTAAAATCAGAAGACAACATGATTCATCCGAGTAGCAAGTTACTGTGAATCAGTCTGTCACTGGTTAACGCATTATTTTTTTCCAAAATATATGTAGGCAGAATACAAGATGACAGCATAGAGAAAAAATGACAGTGTTCACAGAGAATCTTGCACCTTCACAACAAAAGTGGGGACATATTTTCCTCCTCCTAACAACTGAGCCACTGGGAAAACTTCACTACCTTTTTCAATGCCTCAGGTTTTGTTTTTTTTATCTTTGTGATATTTGAAAAACAGCATAACAAGTTGCAGTGAAGCCTTCTTGACTGAAAATATCTTTGTGCTTGCTTTTGTTATATTTAAAATGCAGCTGTTGTTCCTTATAAACTTTCTTCAAGTAAATGATTCATTTATTTTTATTTTTTTTTTAGAAAATGCATAGATTTAATAAAGATACCCTCTAAAAGAACAAAATATGGTGTTTGCAACACAACAAATTGATAGTAAGCCTCATGACTGTAGGGTTAATTTGCTGCTAAAGCAGCTTACATAGCAGTCTTGTAAGTATATACCCTGAGCAGGAAGGAAGTATCTAATTAGTAGGGAAATGCATTTCCTATTCTTTCAACCTAGATAGCTCTTTTTCAGTCACATTAAAAGCTGACCTTCAGAGGGAGCAAGACATTAACTAATACTTGAACTTCAGGCTTGTAAATTAATACTGACTTAAATGCTGAGGATGTGTTCAGCCCTCAGCGCTGAATTTCCTGGGGGCATTCAGCCTCTTCTTAGATCAGGCCAAGCAAGAGCTGTGGTCTCATTTCTTGGTAAGAAAGAACAAGATTTTGTCAAGTTGGTCGTATACATTTGCCAAGCAGTAGGATGCTATTTCTCATCAAAATGATACTAAATTAATAGCAGCTGCCATAAAATTTACCATTTTCAGCACATAACTGTTACTTAATTATGTCTTTTCCTCTTTAAAGAGCTCAGCATTTTATTCTCGGCTTTGTTGGAACTCTTCTACGAAAAATAAACATGGTCAATTTTAATTAATGTTTTGGAGGCACAGTAATTCTCACCATGGTGTATGCCCTGCACATTGTCTCAAATGACAGCATTCTCCTTTAAAATACTAACAGATAAAGGTATTCTAGAAACACATCAACTTTTCTGAATATTTAGCTGCTGTATTGTTATTTCTAAAAGGAGATCTAGCTTATTTAGTGTATGAAGGGGCATAATGAAATTTGTTTCAGCTCTGCATTCAGAAGATAAAACAGTTGTATAGGAAACAGAATAAAGTAATATTTATCAATTTTTTTTCCTTTAACACTGTGTATATACACCAAATAAATAGGATGAAATCACTGCACTGCTAGTATAGTCGAGGCCAGGAGGCAGAATGTGTAAGCAAGCACATGCACACACAAGCTTACTAATCTTAAAAAAAAAACCCCAAACACACAAGAACAGAAGAGACATAAAATTAATTGTCACTACAGATATTTAATAGTCTCATTACAGATAATTTGCCTATAATTTCTCTGTATCCATTTCTCCGTAGCCACTCTTATTTAGTCGGTGCTTTTACACAAGAATAACATGGTTCTTATTAAAGCAATAGCAAAACAACGTGTAACCCACATTAGCAAGAAAATCAAACCATGACAAAGATATTTCTAGCTAAAATTGTAGCACAAGTGTGATTCTTACACCATGGGCTGATAATTGTCTTTGTGAAGCTGAAGTAAAAGACTCCAGGTTACAGTAGACAAAACCATTCCTTTGATGTTATTGCCTTATCAACCACTTTTTAATCTCAGCTATGGTACTGTAACTTCTCTGAAAATTATACACTCAGAGCAATTATTTCTTAAACTGAATGCAAAAGTCAGAAGAAAGTTCAAGTAAGGAGGAGATCGTACCAAACTCACTCTGTTGTAAGCAATTTTTTCCTCTATTTGTTCATGGAAAGATAAAAAAGAAAATCACACATTTTCTTGCATCCTAAATCCACATAATAGAGCTGTGTAGTCATATTTACAAGTCCCAACAGGTGATAAATACACAAACCACATGTTTAAGAAACTTTACTGAAAAGAGTTGTGGGTTTTTTATTAAGTTGGCCTTACTTCTTCTGATTTTTTGAGCACTGTCTCCCTAAAAGGCTATAATTACCTTCTATAGCAATATATCTCCTGATTAGATCCATTAAAGATTGTAAGCATGCTGGTAAACACCTTGAGATTTCTCCCCAAACCCTGACATTGGCACAGCAGAAGGTTGCTTTCCCAGCCTCCCCCACACCCAGCACCAACATGGTCCCTCAGCACCCCCCACCCCACACAGGGTACTCACCTCAGCTCTGCCAGCAGCTCTGGAGGCCACAGCCACAGGAACAGGACCACCGAGAAACAGCTTCCAGCCATTTCCATGGTCTGCCCATCTCTCCAGCCAGGTTGGGGTGGCTGCTGTCCCTCAGCAGGCAGCTGAATGGGTGCTTGGTATTTCACAAGGTCAGCCTCCAGGGTGAGGAAGGAAAAGTAGCCACCTCCATGGAGGAAGTGGGACAGGGCATTGCAGCACCTACAGAGCAAAGAGGTGTCCAGAGCCTCAGAGACAACCCCAGAAAAAAGAGCACTTGCCAGAGAAATATCCAGGAGAGGCAGAGTTTTAGGTCTCACAGTGCTGTTTCTGACAAGATACCTGCAACATTCACCTAAGTCACTGCCCCCTCCTTCCTGCCCTTTTGTCTCCCCTCAGGCCCCTGGGAGATGTGACCCCCAGCCTGCAGCTGTGGGGAGCTGGGTGGTGGCCATAGGTGCCTTCCCTTCAGCCTGTGGAAAAATCACTTGAGCAGCTTCACCTGAGCACGCTGCTGGCTGAGACTGCCCTTCACCGCCTGGTTGGTTGGCTCTGGGCCTGGCTCAGAGGTGGTTTTCCATCTGAGTACAGTTGTGGATGTGGAAGAGCAGGTGGTGACAAGGCCTGCATGTGTCCTTGGCTGCTGAGCTCTTTACTTTTATGCTTCCCTACCACATGCATGAAGAGCAAGCCAATGCCACAGCTTAGGGAGTGGCATGGTGCTTTGTCAGCATTTAGCAGCTTCAGTACCTGGCATTCAGTTATCAGTAGACATCTCGCTCAAAGGGAAAGGGAGCAAGCACAGTGAAATTTTGCTCTTACCTTTACCTCGGTGCAAAGGAGTTTAGTTACTGTACACCTACATGCGTCCCACATGAAAGAGGTATGTTTCACCCTGTCTTTGCCTGTACCTTTCCAGAAACAGGGTCAAAATATTTCCCTCGCAAGATGCAGTGAACATTGTTTTGCTGGTATTTGTTGCAGCTATCCAGCTGAACATGTACTGAGTCAAATATCATTCCCCACTGACTGGTTGTTGCATGTTTTTCCTTTTTATATGGTAATGGTGTTTTAGGAACAGGTTCACGTCTGCAAGCCATTTCACACTGTTGTGACTCCTTCGACTTTGGTACACATTTTCTGAGTCAGCAGTGCAGTGTATCAGAAAGGAAGCATCACTTGTTCTACTGTATAGAGAAAAACAAAATAGGCAGTCTCATCAATTTCCTCCCATTTTCTGTGCTACACTTTAAGAAAAAGAAGATATTTATTCTTTTCTAATTCTAGATATTTTTCCCTCACAAAGGTGGGCCTGGCTCTGGCAAAGGTAGCCAATGCGAACAGTTAGCCAAGAAATACGGGTTTACTCACCTGTCCACTGGTGACCTTCTCCAAAATGAGTTATCGTCATTATCAGAGAGAAGTAAATTGATCAAAGACATCATGGAGTGTGGTGAACCTGTGCCTGGCGTAAGTGACAGTTTTATTTGGGGTCCTAATGGTTAAGCAAAGGCAGTGGTAGGTAGGTTGTCTAAAAGGGTGGAAATACGAGACTGGAGCTGATGATTCTTATTTAAATAAAATTAATCTGCAACCTGAGGGAGAAGTTTCCTCATTGCCAGATCTGTGACACTTCTTTCCCCTTTTGCTGCCAGTATTTTTTTACATTTCGGACTCACATAGGCAACAAATTAGCCATGAAATACAGTGAGACAGATGCTGCACTATGCATTGTGAAAGTAAGAATAAGTACAGGAAACAGGAACTTTATGCCCATTTTATAGCTTCACATTTCAGATTCAGAGCTGGTCCTCCTGGAGCTATTCTAATTTAAAATACCTCCAGCAGTTCCCTGCAGTGCTGGCTGACATCCCAGAGTAGCTGGACTGCAGTTTAATGGAGACCATGAAGACAGAGTGTGTTGTTCTCAGTTGGACTTGACTTTTACACGCAGGTCTGTAGCCACAGCTCTTGGGGGGTCTTCAGCAAGTGCAGCTGGATCGTAGGATGTGTTTGTTAATGAAAGATACTGGGAAGTGCTGCTCAGGGGAAACTAAAAGCTGTGCTGAGGCTTGATTTTGATTGCTTTGCTCTTCAGTGTGTTTTGTCAGAAGGGGTCTCTAATCACTTTCCATGCAGTATAATTGTATCAGTGGCATAGCAAAATGCAATCAGATTGGGAAATGCTGCAGCAGTACTCCAACGTTTCACAGGTATTAATTTTGAAACTATGAAATATTCCCAACTGTCTAGAGGACACTTTGGGAACTCTTGGATGGGTTGCAACACTAGATCTGCATAGCACAGCTGGTCCTGAGAGAAGAAAAAGTAGAGTGCCCTGCTACCTGCAGGACAAGAAAAACACCTGCATTCACAAGACCTGCTTTTAGCAAAACAAGGCAGTTCTCAAGGGCGTGGAACCAAAGTTAGTGTAACAAGCAAAGGTGTCAATTAACTAGCCAAGTTAATTAACCAAGTAACTACTTTTCTTTCCAATGCAGGGTATTGTCCTAGAGCTACTGAAGGAAGCCATGGTTTCCACGTTAGGGGACACAAAAGGATTCCTGATCGATGGTTATCCTCAGGAGCTGAAAGAAGCAGAAGAGTTTGAGAGCAAGGTGACTGTATAATCGTAATGCTGTTATAGCTGCTATTAAGATACAACTGTACTTCTCGTTCTGCTTGGGTCCCCATCTTTAGCTGATTGCAAGGAAAGCACCTAAAGAGCCAGTCCAACAGTGTTGTGCTGCTGATCACTGAGACTTTGGCACCTCATCAGTGTAGCAACTCCACTTACACAGACCCTGTAATACAAGGGGAAGTAAAGGCTGATTTTACCCAAATTTAATATAAATGCCTTCCTGTGTAACCTCATCTGGGTGTTCCTGCTCCGGCAGGGGGATTGGACTGGATGAGCTTTTGAGGTCCCTTCCAATCCCTAACGTTCTGGGATTCTGTGATTCTGTAAACCAGGAACAATTCACATTTAGTGGAATGCACCATTTTTAGAACCAGTTTTCTAACTCTAGTGGATGGCTGCTCTACGTCTCATGAAAGTCTCCTCAAGCACTATTTGATGTAGGTTCATGAAAGCCTGTATCATCACAGTTAGCATCTTGTACCATTGAGCCGGCTCTGATAAAGCTTGTTGCCACTTTGAAACAGCAAAACACAGATTTGATTTTTGTGATGAGTAACAGGTGGCATAGCCATAAAAAGAGCTTTTTGCAAGTGACTGGGTGGAAGTTCAGAGAGTTATCGATTTCCTCAGTATGTGCTAAGACCTACTGAGAAGTCTCAGTTGTACATTTCTCAGTCTGCAGAAAATACTCTATATAAGCCCTGTGAATGAATTCACCAGGGTTTAGGAGAAAAGAAGTGGTAAACTAGAGGAAATAGTTAAGCATACATTCTATCCTATTACACTCCACTAATGTCCTCTACAAGTTTGAAAGGTAATAAAACTTCAGTGAATCATCTGTTTTCTCCCTGAACATTCACTTGCTTTGTTTGGTTGATTACCACAAAAGCCTAGCAAGATTTAGGCATCAGAAACTAGACAAAATAATGGGCAATAGGATTTGCTACAGAAGCCATTCATGGAAATGTTGATCTATTAGTACCTTTACTAAAATGCCACAGACTATTAAAAAGACATTGGAGATTTCTTTAATTTTGTGTAAAAGGAGGAACTATTTCAGCAGTGCTGCTTTTCTGGCAGGCGTACATGTCATGTCCTGTGAGCACTGGTGTGCTGGTGTATGCTATAAAGTAGAACTTAGACATCGGAGTGTCCTGGACTGAGGCGCTGCCAGGCAAACAAGTCTTGATGCATCCGGTGCAAAAGCAGAGCCCCTGTCAGTTCCCATAGACACTGTAGGAGCAAAAGATCCTGTGGTCCTGAGCTGCTTTGGTATTTCGGGTCAAATACAAGTACCCCAAGTGATAATTTTGAATATGCTAAGAATATTGCTGCTGTTTCCACCTCATGTTTTTGCAGGGTGAACTTGACTGGCTGTAAGCTGCTCAGTAAGTCTGGGAAGTTTTAGGGATGAGTCATGATTGAGATAATGCTTTGCAGCTCCTTCTAAAGGGCAGTGAGAAGTTCTTCCTATGTTATAATTGAATGAAAAGAGGTGGGCATCAGGCTTTATTAATTAATGGCAGCAAAGTGCAAATGAATAATGCTACCTATATGCATGATGAGTAAAAAACATTATAATTGTTTAAAAAAGAGCTGTTTTCTTTGGAAGACACTGGGAATAGTGCTTATACCTAAAAGCTGGACAGCCCTAAATAGAATTAGCTGTGTAGAAAAGCTTATTCTCCAGGCAGTTTTGCCCAATTCCTTTCTGTGATATAATTGTACTTCTACCTAGCCATGAGCACATGTCTCTGTTCCCTCCTTGGTCTTTCTGCTAGGTGACAACTAGAAAACAAATTATAAGTTCCACATCACCAGGTGAAAGATACCCAAAAAGACAAAGACCCAATACGTTAGACTTGTTTGGTTTCCTGCAGATGTCCCCACAGTATGCATTATTTAATCTAAATTGTGTCAAACAAGATACTATTATCTCTTCCTAGAAGTCAACGGAGTCCTTCATATCCTCATTGTAAGGTGATGGCATGACTATAACTGATGAAGGGAACCATTCCTCATTTATTCTATTATAATTCAGAACAGACTATGAAATTCCTCATACGGAGCTGGGAGGAAATAACTTATCACCATCCCAGTCCAATTGTACAAAAAGGACATTTGTTTAAATCCTTGATTAAGCCCACATATTTTTTAACTTCTTGATCTAAGTCTCCCACACTGTTGTTAAAACTGCCTTCTTGTCTTTTTTAATCCCAAACCCCAATACTGCTGCTGCTAATAGCATTAATGAAATGAACTGTGTGGAAGAAACTGGATGGATAAAAGCTTGTCCAACATCATCCCTTGGCTTCAGGTGCTTTTTAGAAAGTTATTAAGGTAGTGGAAAGGTCAACACAATCCAGACATTCTCAGTCAAATGCAGAAGGTTCAACATTAAATATTTACTTTTAGAATATTTCTTACTTTAAGAGCAATTTCCATATATCAGTCATTCAGACTTTCTTTGCTGTAGCCATGGTAAAAGCATGAATTTCTAATGGCCATCGTGTGAAGAACAGTCCTCTGTTCTCGAGACCTTCCCAAAAGGTGTTCTCCAAATCCCTGCTAGAAAGGGAAGGAATAAGAAAAAGCTTGAGAGCATCATTGAAGCATTTAATATATAACTACCTGGAAGAATTATCACATCATTTTTCTGTGACCCTGTAACACCTTTATTTTACTTGATAGAGTGGAGCCGATCCCGTTGACTCAGCCCAACGCTTGATCAGACAAAACCTTGTGTCGAAGTGAGCTGTGCCTGAGCGGGGCACATGACAACTGCAATAAGCTAAATGACACACATGTTTCTCAGCATCCTGGGGAAAGAACGATGGGGATTTGTGTTTAGAACTTTTGGCTCTTTCCTAAAATATTATAAGGAACATTTTGCTCTTTCTTGTGAGTTTTTTCACCCATAAAGTACTGTAATATCTATGATCAAATGTAGATAGTGACAGTTATCTACTATCTTTGCCAAGGCCTGGGAATAAAAATAAATAAATCTGTATTTATTTTCTCTCTAGAAAAGGGCAGACTCTCCCTTACAACTAGTTTGGCACTGATCAAAAAGCACTAAATGGTGGGCTTCTCAGAGAGCTGAAATTACTCACCAATTTGAAAATGCCGAGAAATACATCACATCCTTTTGTTATGCCATGGGTAGTAATGATGTAGAATTACTCTGCAAATATTGACATAAAATAGTGTGTGACATAAAGTAATTCCCAGGATGTATTCCTGTGAATATGTCCAATACCAACCATTTGATGGTGGCCCTGAGCCTGTCACTACTCATTTCCATTTTGAGTAGGCACACTTTAATTTGGACATTTCCTTCTTTTGCCTCTTGAGACTCTAAGCTACAGTTTACCACTCCCTGAATGAAAATACACTTTTCATGGATTGAACAAAGCAAAGGCTAGAGAAATAACTGTGTGAAGTGTTCCGTCAGTCCTGGGCTGTTTGCATCAAGCTTTTATCAAACAGTTGCAAATAATGAACTAACTGACAATCTTCAGTCCAAGTAGCCAGAATTTTTCAGATCAAATCTCTTTTTCTCTGTATGTGTAGTGCCCAGCCAAGCACAGCCTTCATCGTGAGTCTGGGATCTCTGAGTGCTGCTACAATAGGAGGCATTTGTTAATAACATAATTTCTGCATAGACAAATATGGAAGTAATTTGCTAATAAATTCCTTGGTGACTTTTTTGGTAGCATTTGTTTTTAAAATTATCCAGACAAAATCAATTTTACCAGGCCAGTAGTTTGAATACTCATTGGTTTTCTTTGTCTCTAGGTTGGGGAACCAAAACTTGTGTTCTGCCTGGACTGCTCTGCAGAAACCCTGAGCAATCGCCTTCTGATGAGAAACCAGAGCAGTCAGTGCACTGATAACGCTGAAACCATCATGGAAGAAATCGAAAGCTATAACCAAGCGTCAAAACCCGTGATTGCATACTATGAAAGGAAGACACAGTTATGCAAGGTAAATTACTTGACCTTTTTAATGAAATTATTGCTTTTTACTTCCATTGTATGAGAAGTATTCAGAAAACACTGACGTGACTCCGTTTATGAACTCTTATTAGTTTCTGCATGTTCCAGTTTGTTCTCATCTCACACTTCCCTGGTTTGCTTCAACTTCTGAGTTCCACAGTACAGTTCGAAAGAATAAAACCACAGGTATATTCTGAATCTGAGAACATACCATGAATCACTACCCCATGGGTATAGAATCTCTTATTAAACATTAATGCTGCAAACCTTTTCTTTAAGTACTAGGATTTATTTCTTTATAAGGGCTTTCAGAATAGGATGAAATACTATGTTAATCCAAAGCCCTTTAGTTAAATTTCAGAACAGTGTATATCCTGAAATAAAACAGACCTGCACACGAGAAAGATCTTTTGACTGGAATAAACTACATAGTTCTATTAATTTCAGTGAATTACCTCAGTTTACACCTACTCAGGATGTGATATTTAAAGTACTGGTTTTATTCTTTAATCAATATTTTTCAGAGAAGCAAGAAAAAAAATCCATCAGTGCAATTAACCAATGCATATACATGGGATGTTTATATTTCTTTTTATATATTTCTCGGTTCTGTCATGGCAAACTGTCCCATATGTTCAACTAGAGAAAGATGTAGTCCTATTGATCATTCTTGTCCTAAAAGGGAAAGAATCCAGTAATAGTTTCTGGAAATATTATGGGAGCTTTTTTCCTAGAGGCTGTAGCAAACATGCAAATCACATCACTCTGAGAAGTTCCCAAAAGAGAAACATGCAGCTAATTTATGCACTCATATCCTGACCCAAGAACAGGTTAAATAACACAATACTGAGAAAAATGATGCTCAACAGGAGAGTCCTGATTTGTGTCCTTTGCTCACCCCACAGTAAGTGCTTGTGTTTTCTTTGACGAGCTACCTTGCCAACACTGCAAGGATGCATCTAATTAAGGATTCAGTGCGGTGCACAATACACCAACACAGGGCGAGGCAAAGGAAGACGGAGCTCTCTGGATCTCTAAGGTCTTACCCCAGTGAGCTGTGCCTGTCACAGTGTCTGTTCCCCTTTTTGAAGCATCAGGGAAGTGACAGCCCCGAAGAGAATCGAACTACGCTAAATACTTTCACACAGATTTTGCAGCTGTGGTGTGCCTTATTTCACTTGACATGAACTCTCCTTGCCCTTCCTTCATACTTCTGCTGCAAGTTTCTGCCCCATCTCCCATGCAAACTATGCAATGGCAAAGCCTGCAGTCTTTTCTGGGAAGCTTATAGCTCTTTAGCTCCTTAAGGGACTGGACTAGACTATGGGTCAGAACTGGATATGTGCTTTGCACTCTTTTATCATTACTTTTTAGGGGAACTGGCATTGTGCGTTTGCACGTTAGAAAATATTTGTGCAGTGCTTGAACAGGGCTTGCACTGTTTTTCTTACAATGTCTGTACATTGTCTGTAGTTGCTTCTGATGAATGGGGGTATTCAACGTGCTTCCATCTTCTGGATGGATCTATTGGGTATGACAGCTCTGTAAAATCAGCTTTGTAAACATTAGCATGTAAAATGTCCTTTTAAGGTTGAAAAACACGTTCTGTTTTTCCTGCACACGAGTACTCTGTGTTGAAGTGTCTACCTCGTCTGCTTTTACTAAGCTGATAAAATACACAGCTGCTATCACAGGTGTGATTCCATTATGGACGTAAGTAAAGCAGGGAGATGCCCAAACCTCCCAAACCCTTTGTAGCCAAGTACATGTTCAGTTATTTATCAGCATTTAGAGAACAGTGCCAAAATACTCAGCAGAGGTAGACTTTTAAAATCAATCCTCCCAAGGCCGTCCTCGTGACCCTCCACCAGCCTCAGGCACAAGCCTGCAGCCCTGGTGCCTGTGCACCAAGGAGCAGAAGCAAATGTAGTAGCTGTAGCTGTGCTGAAACAAAGAGAACCAGACAACACAAAAGGTGTAACTGTTTGCTGCGTGGGAAATAAAGAGAAAACAGACATCTAGGTTTACAATTTTAGAACTATTTTAGCAATGAATATGTTTAAGCTGCATGTGTTGAAGAAAGCAGAGAGAAAAGAAGAGTTTGCAATACCCGAGACATGGGGTTAGTTATTTATTTATAGCAACGTGTTTTACAGATTGCTAAGCGTTGACCTTAGCAGCCACCCTAGTGTTCTCTGACAGAGGAAAGAAAAATCAGGTGGAAAGCAGAAAAGCTCTCAGTAATACTTCTGACTGCGACTTTTTTGTTTAATATTTTTCTGCCTAATTTTAATTATAACACCACATGTTTTGAGCTTTGGGAATCTGTTCACTCCTAAGTGGGTTTTATCACTCAGCAGCACTGACCAGCACTGGTTGAAGATGTTAATGCTCCCATTAAGATGCTGCTGCTTCCCTAAGTCTGCTCGCTGAAAGCGAGCACTGTGTATGCGTTTCCTAATCCATTTCAGGCAAAGCCACCAAAGTTAATTTACAAGTGTTGATTTGAAGACCTCCTACAATAAATGATCTCATCTACATTCATGGATTTTTAAAAATAATCCATGGACCTTCACATCACCACAGAGCAGAGGCTTGTGCACTCTTTTTCTCAGGCAAAGCTGGGGGGATCCAGCAGCCTCAGGGAAGTGCTGAGGGTGCTGAAGGTGCTGTGTGCAGATCCAGAGCAGTCTGTGATCCCAGGATGAGTGATGGCCAAAGCATCTGCAGCGAAGCCATTTGAGAGAGGAAGAGAAGAAGGGTTTAAAAGAACCTTTAACTGCAGCTTTCTGGAAAGTTTTTCCTGCCCAGGAATTATTTCAGCAGAAGCAGCTCTTTGGTGGAAGGCCCATGTGAGCTTTACATCCCTTGAGATTCCAGCCATGCTCTTTCTTAGGAATACAGAGGAGTGGATGTTGAGATTTTAAGAGGAATATTAAAGTCTAAATCCCACCTAACTGCCATGAGGGTTCAGTATTAACCTTTTTCAGCTGACTGAGCACCACTAATAATTGTAGGTGAAATTGTATGGGTGATCAAGTCTTGTAGGGCTTAACTGTAGCACCCAGTCCCTGTTTTGCCACAGAAAAGAAAATCAGAATCGTTAAATAGAATGGTTTAACAAGAAAACAGGGTTGACATACTGGTACTATTTGATTTCTCCATTTTACGTGCATTCAAGGCTCGACAAAGTTTTGCACCGATTGGGAACAGGACATGGCAATGGTGGTACGTGTCCAACTTGTCCTGTCCAGCCTAAAGGATTTCAGTCCCGAAACAGGCAGATTAAACATGCAAATGTAAAATTCAGTCCTGGTCACAAGGCCAGCAAAAGGTCTGCTGTGGGAATGAGATGTTGGACAAGCACTCAGCGGAGGAGGAACTGATCTGTCGCGCCGTATCAAGGTGTGCTTGAGAATACGGTGCCAAATCAGCTTTCTTATCCTCTGCATTGGAGCGGGTGTTACGGCACGGACAGAAGGAGCCAAATAAACACAGTGGAGACAGAAAAACTCAAGTCTGACCTGGCTGCTTCTGCAGTCATTGGGAATCCTCTCCTTGCTTTACTCACACGGAAGAGACAAAGGTACCTGGTTGTAACGGCATCCCCATTTTAATCGGTGAGAATGCTATGACCTTCTCTACACCTAGAGATACTGTGCATAGATGCATTCATTAATAACTAATGTGATATTTGGAAAAGGAACATTTTTCCATTCTGCTGACCTCTGAACAAGACCAGTGACCAGTTGAAGCTGTCAAAAGATCAGGACTCTGTTTGAAATTTCCCTTTGACCAAAGGCATTTCTGCTCAGCAGTAGAAGCGTGAGGCTTGCACAAAGGGTGGATAATTTGGGTGCAGATGAAACATCTGTGAACCTGACAGGAATAAATAATACTGATCCTTCCAGCCACCCAGCTGAGATGAAGAACTGTGATTTAACTCACAGGGATGTATTTACAAGGGAAAATAAACTGACTGAAGAGTGAAGGGCAAAGAATGGGAGTGTCCTCTGCTCACTTTTCTGCTAAGGCATCAAGTTTCTAAACTGTGTTCTGGAAGGTAAAGTAGTTGTAACAGTGGGGATATAGTTTAATGTTCCACAATTTCTTTCACAGCAAGTCACAGAACACCCACCTCTGCCAAGGACAGCAAGTGGGCGCTTGCTAACAAAGACCTGGCGCTGGAAATGCAAGCCCTGAAAGCACCACTCACAAAACCAATTGCAAGCTGCCTGGTACTGTGAGAATCAGGTGTTTCAGATGAATGAGGTGAAACTAAATGCGCTGTGGTAGCTGTAGTAAGCAGGTAGATGTTGTTTATAAATTTATTTCTCAGTGATTTCCAAGGCAGCTGGACAGAAAAGGGCATCTGAAAATTCAGTAGGCACCTACTTGTGTTTTAACATGGCTAAGTGTGAATATCTTTGAATATGTGGCCCTCTGTCAATTGAGAAGGAAGAAAAAATCCTGATTGCTTTTAATGTCTGACTCATCCGTTAAAGTTTAGTCAAGTGACAGTACGTGGGAGGGCAATAAGCAGTGGAGAAGAGCAATGCACTGGTAGTCAAGCAAGACAAAACTGATCCTGTCTAGCTCATGTAAGACACATTGTAGGTGTCTTAAGTACCGTTCTCTATTCAAAGTCCTCTGTGGAAACAGGGCACAAGCACAGCAAATAAGCCAGGCAGTCCAAAGCAGGGGATTTTCAGCAGTGTCCAGAAACCTTAACTTTTCCAGACCAGATGCCTATGGAAGTTCAGCCTACAAAGTTCAACCAGAATGCAGTTTTCTTTTCCTCTTTTTTTTCTTTTTTCCCCAGTGTTGTTCTGCTGTTTCTCTCTAACCTCAGTTGAAGTCGCAGGCTGGTTAAGCAGTAGTTACTAGATTCTATCACAAATATTTTCCATAACCACAGTGCAAGAATGAGTGACCATGAACCCTCATGATCTTCTGAGCCCTGTTTGAAGCGTCTCTGGGGAAGGGCACGTGTGCACTTTTCCCTGTAGACGAGGGAAAATCAATGGTTCTAAATCCCAAAGCCTACAGCAAATGGGGATTTGATTACAGAAAATTCAGTTGACTGATTTTAATGCCAAAAAGACCAACATTGGACTATGGAGGTGATTACTCCAGTCATTTTTCATAGGAGCTCATTAAATTTCTCTGTATTTGAAGTTACCTAAAGCCATAGCAGCATTTCAAAACAGGAAGCACTATGGAAAACTCTATCTGGATCTTGCCTTTATGAGAAGCCAGTAGCCTTGACTAGCCTTGAAAACAGTCCTAATTTATCAGGTTTGTTACAATCTGAGAAATACAGTTTTCCCTCCTGGAGCTGCAGAGTGTCAGTGAATTACTGTGGTAGTAGCTGTGAGTTGTTGTCACATCAAGTTAGTTTCGTGCCACGACTTTAAGTTAGTTTTATGAACTGGACCTTTGTTATTTAGGAGGCCAGCATGGGAAGCACTGGGGCTGGCGTTAGTCATGCACAACCGTATTTTACTGTTAAGAATCAGCGCTCCAGCCAGTCATAAAGGGCAGCAATTTCCACACTTGAAACCCAATTCTTCATCACAACTGCCCAGATCTAGACCTGACTATCAATCCCAGTGCAAGAATAGGTTGCAAAAAGCCAATGGCAATCAGCTGTGCTGAGCCAGGGCAGATGTGTTTATGGAGTAAAGAGATAATCAAAACACGTATTATGATCAGAGAGCTTTGAAATGGCTGCGGCCTTCACCCGGTGTGAAGTGTGTTTCCTGTGGGACAGGTATATGAAAAGAGGTGCCTTGGCAGTTGAGACAGACAAAACAAGCAGCTTTACAGCAGCTGGGATGGGAGCTGCTGGTTTTATTGTCACTGGAGAAGGCAGGCATTTGGTCCAGGATGGGTCACCATCCCACTTCTCTCTTTGCTGCTGGTAACACCCTCCTACTGCCTGTGTTTCTGTGGCATAGAAAGCTTCAGAAAGATGTGCAGCCCTTGTCTGAGAGGGGACCTTGCTAAGGCACCACCTGCTGCTTCACAAACTGTTCCAGCAGGCCTGCACTTCAGCGTCGCATAAAGCAGCGATGTTGGCAAACACCAATGTGACAGAGCAAGGGAAGCAAGAGAAGACAGCTTCCGAAAGCTGCCAGGAGGGGAGGGGGCAGCCAGCTCAGCCTGTGTGATACCCTCACAGTGAGCCCAAGGCACTCAGGCATGGCTCCTAAAGGCTGGCCAGGCTGGGCATTCCCAGTGCTGGAACTGCTGTGTGCAGAGGTGGATGGGCTGGATGTGCCAGCACTCGCAACAGGATGCAACAAGGGACCAAGCTTTGCAGCATCTGCGGGTGCCACCAAGAGCGAACCCAAGCTACGGAGCGTGAATGCGATCCCTTGCTGGCTCTCGGCAAGGAGCAGCTGCTGACTCCCACACAAGGCTTAGCATCGAGGGACTGAAATGTACATGGAGTGCAGTCAGGCTGCACAGGAGCCGGCTGCCAGCCAGCGCTGTATCTGAGGAGAATTTCATGGCCTATTTCAAAAAGACTTTTTGGAGTTTGAAATTCCTTTTATTCTCCTGCAGAACAAAGAGGGGGCAGAAAGCACGATGGCCAGGAGTGTCCCCTTCCAACAGCACCACTGTCCCAGTCAGCAACTTGGAGATGAAAATGCAGCACGTAGCTGAGAAACACAGGCTTTAGCAAAGTTGTGGGTCCAGTTAAATGTGTGCAAGCTCCATGGCACAAAAGCATGGAAAAGCAAGGAGAGAGCTTGGTTTGGAGTAGAGAGTCAAGGCTCTCACCAGGTGTTTGAGAGGAACTGAATAATCATCAGATGCAACCTGCATGGTGCACACAGCCAGTCACTCTGCACACTGCTTCTGTCACTCCTGTGAAGGCAAAGGACAGCTCTCCTTCCTCAGGTATCACCTGCGTGACACTGCAGGGCATGGACATCAAACCTCTCCTAGAAAACCTCAGTGCTACATTAAGCTGTACATTAAGCACACACATTACTGACTACAAGCATCACTCATCTTTGCTAAAATGCAGGGTGCTCTTCCTCAGCACAGAATAAATCGTTCTTGTTTTTGTTGAAGTCCAGTCCTGAACAATAACTCGAACAGCCCAGAAAACCTCTGGCCAAAACAGAATCTTTGGGGCGAGAAATATTTCTTCAATGAAAGTGAGTTCTCGTACAACACGACCAACGCCACTGTAAAACACGTCCCAGAGGTCGTCATTATGGTTGGACTCAATGATCTTAAAGGTCTTTTGCAATCCAAATGATCTGATGATTCTCTAAAACCAGACCCAGTTCCCCAAGCTTGGAAATACAAATGCACAAAACACACGACCTCGCTATGGCGCTGCCATTGGCTTTAGGTCAGTCACAGCATTACGTGCTCTGACGCTTCACATGGCAAGAAACAAGTTAGCAAGTCAGTCCTATTCATCTACTGACAGTATGGTATCAGTCATTCTATTAGGTTTCTTTTGGAGGGTATTAAATGTTACAATAGGTTCTAAAAATCTTTGGAAACTGTATATCAAAGGTGTAATTCAACTTTAAAACATGAGTACTTCAGAGAAAGAGCCTAGCTCCCTCATTTGATCCATGTACTTTAGACGATTGGAGCCTACAGCGTCTTCTCACATAAATCTGTGGAAACAGTGACTAATTTGGTTTGTGGAGGCTCCTCCTCTACATCAGCAGGTTCATAGCATGAAACAGAACAACTTTTGTTTTATATTGGACCGGGTTTCTGTGCCAGTGTTTAGACTCTGAGATAATTCTTTGTAACTTAATCAAAACTCCTGTTTTTTGCTCGCTTCCCAGGTTGATGCAGACGGATCACAGGAGGAGGTTTTTCTGGAAGTCTGCAAGACCATTGACTCTTTTCTGACCAAGGAAGAGGCAGCATCTTCGTTTCCAACAGAAACGCAGTAGTGACTTGCACAGCCCCACCTCACGTGCACTCGACAGAGGCTGTGTAAAGCAGTGCTGCTTTCTGGAGAGGTAGCTGGAGTTTGTGCATGTGGTGTTCTTTTAGGTGAAATCTTTTTTTCTCTGTTCTGACAATCCACTCAGTAGGAAGTGGTCTGCACGTTACCGCTGCACTAAGAACCGTATGTTGTTTTATTGGTTGTTTGCTCTCCGCGGGTTAAAGCAGCATGGTGAAACGCAGCTCTGGTTTGTATTTCATGATCTCGTACATAGGTTGGGAGTCAGACAGTGCCTGGCCAGCAGCGAGCTCTTCACCCACATCGTTCACCATTCAGCATATTAAGATCCCTGCGCACGAGTTTCCCATGGGTTATTATTTTCTTTGAGTTAACGGCATTCACTTCTGTGGTGTCACTTGGCTGGTTCTTGGGCTTGAGTGACTCAAATCTGGTCTCTGTTAACACAGCTGGAGTTAGGCTAGCAGTAAAATCAACCTTACACGTGCCCTAGAACAGTTACAAGAAGCAGCAGAAAAATTAATTGCAGGTGAAGATACGGCTGGGTGTTGTGGAAGTCTGTCAACCCAGCGTCGTGGAGCAGACACCATTTTCAAGACATCCTTGTTTGCTGCTGGGAATCCCAGGGTATTACAAATGACGACTTCCCAGTTTTGTGAGCTGAGGGGAAAACCATGGTTTTATTGTGGTTAGATGTGCAGTCCAGTAATTACCCATAGCAGCGGCAGTTTTACTGTATGAATTATAGTCTACAAAGTTGACCATGAGCCAGAATGTATGAAGATGTCTTTAAATCACACTTCGGAGGTAAATCAAATGCAAAAGTCAAAATTCAGATCATCACCTGTTGGCTCGTACTGGCACTGCCAAAACTTTGGGGAGGGGAGGAAAAAATGTCAGGGATTATTTGATTCCTATTGCTTGCATCTTCAGTAAGCCATGTATCCATACTATCTGCAAAAAAGTCTGTAAAAACCATACTGTATTTCCGTTAACCAAAGTATTGTGGAGTTTCTTTGGTATTCTGATAGCTAAACAACAGCTTGTTCAACATTCCTGTAAAGTAACCGCGTCCTCTTACTGGAACTACGGGATGAATTCGCAGGTGAAGTGGGTTGCATGATTGCTCTTACCGTCCAAGTTGTACTTTCTGCGGCAGGTTTGTACTTTTCAAGTTACCTTTCTTGTATTGAAGACATAATACAAATAAAACATGTACAAAAATGAGAAGTAATGGTTTCTGTTACAGTCCATGTGGGTTTAATCCTTTTCAAAGCACAGTCCCTGACTTCAAAACACAGCATGCGTACAGAACGTGTCCCTTCTGCATTCAGGGCCAGTTCTTGTTTTCTTTTCTTCCTTGGCATCTGCCCTCTAAGTGCCAATTCAATTATTTTTTAAGAGATTCTTAGGTCTGTGCTTATCCTTCACATCCTGGATGTTCCTTCTCCCCTTGGTCCTTCAATAGCTCCATTTTACCTCGGATGCTCTGGAAGTGCTGCTCCAGCTCCAGCCCAGTGCCGTTATGGGACCAGTAACGCACAGGAGTTTTAAGCGAAACTCAGAAAGCACCAGCTTGGGAAGGGAGGTTTCTCTGCACCCAGCCTTGAAGCACTAGAGCCGCTGTCGGGGGTAGTATTTTCCCCAAAATAAACTCAAACATTCTGGAGTTACCATGAAGTGGCAAATTCATGTGGGCAGGTTTTCTGGAGTGTATTTTTTTATTACTTTCCAAATTAGACTGTAATTAGAAGCGTGGCAAAGGCATCAACCGATGATTTTTTAAAAAAAAATCAAATTACAAAAATGTATTTAACAGACAGTTTCAGTTTAATTTCTGCTGCTTCTGGTCTTTTCTGTGGAACAAAACAAAAAAACCTCCCATGCTTGACTGGGTGTATGTGCATTAGGTATCTATCTGCCTATGTTCATACTGTATGCAAGAGAAATAGCTGTATATGCATGCACATGGAAATAGAAATATTTATACATATTCAATAAAAAGAGGACTCATCCAAGACACTTCTTTCTGGGGTGATTCAGACTTGAAACTCTCCCTCTGCTTCCCATCTCATTTCAGCTATACCATGGCTTTCTGTTCTTCCCAAGCTATCCAAAACTGGTGACTGAGTATTTTCACTAATGTACTTTTGCTGTTTTCTTCCAATTAATTTGTTCAGGCTGTCAACAGAAAACAAAGATTACCACGGGTTCCCTCCCTGGTAACAAACCTGCACCAGCTCTGCCTTCTGCTGTGGAAAGCACATTTTTTATTGGATTGGTATCTTTTCCAATTAGAAACTAGAAGAGATCATGTGCATTTTTGTGGTTTATTTTTTAAAGGTTTATTACATTTCCCTAAAAGTATTAGATACGTGAGATATGATCACGTCTGAAACTTGCTCAGCGCTTTAGTACCTGTTCTGTATTACCCTCTGAAGAGATTAAATGCTTCTTTTTCTTTCTGAAGCAAAAAAGTAACAGCACCTAAATTTATTGCAAAACTTCATACTGCTCAGTTGATAACTGAAGTTATTAGGTGCAGCCAGCCAATTCTCCTTCTTATTGCCATCTTTTTAAGTCAAATCAGTTTATTTTCTAGCTAATCACTCTGACTATTCAAGTTTCAAAGCAACTGGAAGTCTGTTACAGTTATAAAATAATCAAGTGTTTGTGAACCACACGCTATACATTTCAATAGAAAATATATTAACTAAAATATGTCACAATAATTACAAAGCTTCTCAGACAATGGTGCACAGCGTACCATGGCTTCTGAAATCTGAATTTTCTTCAGGCTGAGAAAGAACAGTCAGTGAGCAAGGTATGAGGAAACTAAACTGCTAATGCTGCAAACGGCGAAGCCGCGTTCGGCAGGCGCAGAGCACCACCGGTTCCCATTGCAATAACAGCAGAGGAAGGCGCTGGGCATCTCGCAGGTCTGCACAGTGACCGCTTGTAAAGCGCATTAAAACGTCCTTTTAATGTTTTCCATCTGGAGTAAAAAGTCAGAGTACACAAGAAAGGAAGTCACAGCAAGCATTCTATATATAAACAGACTGTATCCACATAGTTTATTTCTCACAGTTCTCCTGACAATCGAACATTATTTAAGAACATACTGTATACACAGATAAGAAGAAACATACAAAATGTTTTAAATGATGCACAACAAAATCCAGCAGTATAAAAGAATGCATGTGAACCCTTGCTCACTGCTCAGGCTAAATTTAATCACTGTTTAAATAGTAATAAAAATACAATCTTTCATGGATCTTGTGCAGACTACAAAAGAGGAAAAATTATTACCATATATATGATTTATATTAGGCAGTTTTCTTTGATGAGTTGCACTAACAACTCCAAATACAGAGGCAGAAGGCTGTGTATTTTATTTTAAAGGAGTTAATGTTGAGTATTAGAGACTTTACACAGTTACTACCACTGGCACTTTTCACCATATTTTGTACACATCACATGATCATCTTATATAACATTACATTTAAAAAATATATCTGAGTGACAATTTTATAACATTCACACACCATGAGCTGGTTAAGGAAGCAATGCCACAGTTGCCCCCTGTAGTGCTTCACTGTTGGTAAATAGAGTTCATCGTGGTTTGAAAAACAAAACAAAACAAAACAAAAGAAAAACAAAAAACCAAATTAAAAAACTTGAAAGTCGATGTGATTAAGCAGCTCCGATTTAATAAAGGCCTGTAACCAACCATCGCCGAGACAGTGAGCATTTTTTAGAGTACATCCTAGAAGCAAACACTGTCATTGGTTAAAACCTTGCCTAAAGAAGTCAGTTACTGTGCTGAAAACTATTTCACAACAAAACTGCAAGCTACTAAACTGTTTTTATATAAATACTTCATCTCCTCTGAATCTCATTATAACCGAGTTCTTCAAAGCCTTTGGAATTTACTCTGTCTTTAATGTGTGCTCTCATTTCTGGCTCACCTTTTGTATGTTTTTCTTTTGTCTTTAGATTCACCACCTAAAAACGACTAACGTGGTGAAAGAGGTGTCTCCCAGTGAAACCTTCTGCACACTAGGAATGTTCAGCTGCTGTTCAGTGATCTAGAACCATGACAGCTCGAAGCTGCAGTTTGACAAGTACACCCAGGAAGCTGTCATGCTGTGAGCGACATTTCAGGGAAAGCAGAGTCTTTCCAAAATGTGCACAGGATTAACAATGGTGCCATTGTTAGATTTCAAAGAGGATAGTAAGCCCAAGATGGTAGATCTGCTTCCCATGTCATCTATTTGCTGGAAAGTAGTTTGGGTCAAGATAATTGTAACTGGTGCCCTGGGACATGCAGTAGTCTCTGTCTAAAAATGTCTCTGCTCTGTAAATAGGCTCTAACTGATGATCTTCCTTATGAATCTCTGTTTCATGCAGACTGCAAGGGAAAGAAAAAGATAACAGTTTAAAAGTCAAGTATGTTCCTCATCTTCAACCTTCAGAAACAGCAATCAGATTAAGAAATTCATATCAAATTTGATAACTTTTAATTCATAAGGTGTAACTTCCCCCACTATTTAACAGCACCAAACCTATCACTCCATTGTATTAAGAAAAAAAATTTACATCCAGAACATGCTTACAAAATGTACTTCCCACTAACACACACTAAAGTATCTTCCACTTCACCCACCACAGGACATGTATCCTATGCTGATGCAGTGTTTTCCACCATGCACGGCAATTAACCCACACAGAGATTTCAGCTAATCACAAATAACAAGTAGAAGCGAATGCTGCTCACCAGTCAGAACAAGAATCGCAGAAATCCAAGGACATTTCTTGAGGGCAGTCCTGGCAGTGCCACCGCACACCCTGGATAGGTTCAATTCCGCAGTTATCGCACTGTGAAGCAGACGAAGAGCACTGAAAATCCTGCAACTGCAGCCACTGACGTCAGTACTGGTGCAGACACCAACACACCGTACAGAAAGGCACATGTAGGGCCATTAC